GAAAAAAAAAATGGTGGAATCGTCGTCCCCTTCACCTACAGTCCCCGTCATGAGGTGGAGTCACCGTCGCCTTCGCCATAGTGAGGAAAAAACGGTTGGGTAGTGAATGCGGTAGTGGTGGGAGGAGGTGGCGTTATTGAGAGAGGTGAGAGAAATGGAGGCGGTGGGAGGAGAGAGGGTGGAGGGGAAGAATTAGTTCAAATGATTTAGGGTTTGGTTGGGTCAAATTATTTTATTATATATATATATATAAATAAAAAATATTTTTAAATTATTAATTAAAAGTTAAAACCTGATTTTTGAAATGTTAAACTTGTGACCTTATTTGTGAAATTGAAAGTCTAATTCCAGGTGTAGATGTAATTTTCTCTAAACATAATGGCCTGGGATCTGGGTCAGGTGATATGCTCCCTTAACTACAAGGGCCTGGGCCATAATGATCTCATTTCACCTAGAGCTGGCAAAGCCATAGAACCGTAACAAGACTCAAGAAGTAGTGGAACGAAGTCTATTGGCAAGAAGAGAGCAAGTTAAGAATTCCGTCTTGACTTGCAGGATTGGCTTCTCCCGACTCGATCCACGGATGCTTGAGGCCCGTTTTAAGATGAGACATGAGCTGAGCCATGTGCCCATGAACAGCTCCGTTTGAGAGATGCATATTAACTTGCATGAATAATGTAGTAGAAGGTATTTATAAGAAATCTTAATTTTTTTAATTTATCGACTAAGAAACTCTTTTTTCCCCTTTTGAACTTACTAATAAATTCTTGATTTTAAGTCCATGTTTATGGGATTAAAATCAAGATTTTTATCAAATTAACAATTAATTTCAATCATATATTTCATGGAATCTTTAATTTTTCAACTATACATTTTATTATTTTTTATCAAAAGACACTAAAAATCTGATTTTAATCTCCAACAAATAAGAGCTAAATTGAAAGAATACATTTTCTAAAGATCAAAATATTCCAACAATTATTTAATTAAATACAAGTAAATTTAAAGGTGTGTTTGAACCATATTATTTTGGAAGAATGTATTTTAGAATAATAGATTAATGATAATGTGTAGTAAAAAAATAAGAAAATTTTTTGGACGTGATGAAAAATATTATTTTATCGAAAAATGTGTGGTTGAAAATGAGTTTTGAAAAAAATATTTTTTTGTAGGATGTGGATCAAACAATGGCTAAGCATGTGTTTGTCTATTATTAAAGTAGAAAAATGAGTTTTCGACTAGTGAATTTTCAGATAATCTATGGATAAAAGTAGGAAAATTTTGGATTTACTTACAAAATATTTTATTCTAAAAATGTACAATGAAAAATAAGTTTAAGAAAAAAAAAACCCGGAAATAATGATAGATAAATAGTGGCCCCAAATCTGATTTATATCAAAATAAAATAGAGGCCAAATAGGAGCTTATTAAGCTTTGGATTGATTTTGACTTTTTCAAAATTGTTTTTCCTCAAATTCATTTTTAATCATTTTTCAATAAAATAATTTTACACGTGAACTAATAACATTACGTAAGGTAGCAATACTATTTTTTCTTTTTTCACATGTTTGTACGATCATTCCAATTTAGAGATTAATTATGTTCTAGCCACTTTACGAGGCAGCAATCCTATTTTTTTATTTTTTATTTTCAATTTTGTTTAGTCATCCGATTCTTTTCAATATCTTATTTATCAAAAAAATCAAATACAAAGAAATGTTTCACGGTCACTAGTTTACCTCTAAAAGGATTCCCAATTGCACAGGCTATTTATTTAGCTATTTATTTAGAAGTGACAATGGATTGAGTCGAGTCGGCATAACGAGCTGAGTATATTTATTTAGAAGTGACAATGGATCGAGTCGAGTAGGCATAATGAGTTGAGTATATACTCAGCTCGGCTCGTGGGCACGTGTGTTCACGAGCCGAGTCCACAAATTTTATTTTTATTTTTTGTTAAATTTTTCATTTAAAAAAAAAACTCCCCCTTTTATTTGAGTTTAGGTCTAGTTACTTTTTTTCTGGAATGCGGAATTAAAATTGTACACGAACAACTTATTACAAAGTATATTTATGAAGAATTAAAATTGTACACGAACAACATACTTTATTTTTTTTAAGAATCAAAATATTATTTAAAGAATGACAAAGTTCGATTATATGAAGAAATGAAATATCATGTACATGACATTGACAATATGCAAGTTTGAAGAATATAAAATTATAGGTTTTGTTCAATTATTGATCCACCTCCTCAGAAACCTTCTTGAAGGTTAGTCTTCTTGAAGTTTTTTGAGGAAGCGAAATCAATAGCTACACGTACTTTGAATCATGATATGGATTAAATGGGTTGTAAATTTGTAATATAATTGTGAAAAGCAGAGTAGAAGAATTGTAAATTTTATCGGGAGAAGAGATTGTAGATTTTGTTGTGAGAAAAATATTGTAGAATGAGGGGGGTATTTACAGATGAAAAAAAAATTCCGTTCAAAGTTTTGAAAATGGTCACAAAACTAAAAAAAAGTGACCAAACGGTCACTGTACTCGGTCGTGGCTCGCTGAGCCTAGCTCGTACTTGGATGGGCCGAGTAGCCCACGAGTCGACTAGCCGCTCTACCTGTTTGCCCCCTCTACATTTATTGCAAACACAAACTAGACAAAAAAAAAAAAAAAAAAGAGGTGTTGGGATGGGAATTGAGAATAAATTATGCTAGTCGTACATTTTTGGATGACATTGTGTGATGTGTAAAAAATTGTGTCATTGATTTAAATAAGTGTTGTTAAAATCAACGACTTAAAGTATTTCCACATCAAACAATGTCAAACTTAATGTACTTGTAGCAAAATTGATTGAGAATTGAGATCTGTTTGCTCAAAAATTTGCTATCTCTTTAGTTTTTTACTTAATACAATTTCAACACCTTGACGAATCAAATTATTCGAAATAAGATAGAAAATCACGTGTCAAGGTGTCAAAAAATATATTAAAGAGATATGAGTTCGAAACAACGAACTCGATGATCGAAATGAAAGAAAAAGAAGTGAGGTAGAAAGGGGCAAAATAAAAAGAGAAAAAGTTTAGAAAAGGGATAAGAATGTAGGGTGGAAATTCAATTCATTCTCCAATGAGAACTTTTGTGCCCAAGTCATGTTGTTGTGGGGCCACAGATTTTGTGCATCTATCTGTCGCAATAACTTCTTTGTTTTGAACTGCCTCAGCAGCCATTTTATGATTTATGGGAATTTTTATAGTGGTGGTTGATGTTTCACAGAGATAAGGTAGCAATAATATTTCATAAAGTTACATTAAAGTTTCTAAATTTGATTTACTAATATAAAAAATTGAAAAGAAAAACTTATTTGAATTTTTGTAACGTTCTTTACTGCTCCATTCTTAACTCAATCGCTCATCCCTTCATCAAGTTTGAAATGATGTCGACGACATGTATTCTATTCTTCTTTCCTTATCCCGTTCATATTTACACAAAAACTCACTAGTAGAACTCCGAAAGTTTATCTTTATAGACTCGCCTACTTTTAAAAGTACTTATTTGAAAATATTATCTAATTAAAGCTGCTTTCTTTCAATTGTACATTCCAGAGCATCTTTGCAGAAATACTTGGTGTTGGTACGTTTTGTTCTTCACATATAAATCCTCAACAATAATTTCCAAGCAAGAAAAAATGGAACTTTGAAAATCATGTTTGGCTATGATAAAAACTAAGTCAAATTTACTTTTAAGTTACTTATTTTGTTAAATATTATTTTTAAGGTTACTTTATATCTAACAATTCTAGAGTTTTAAAAAGTAACCTATTTTCTTGATTACTTATGTTTCCTTAATCTATCGTCAGGCAATGCCCTCCACTTATTTTGATAAAGATCAAATCATGAACATGAACCTCTTTAACTCTATGCTAAATGTGTATTAACTATAAGTATTATACCCTACATTCAATCAATCTTAAACGTAAACACTTTTAATATGATTAATGCATTTTATTTATGGCAAGATTTATTAGAATTACTATTCTAATAAATTAGATAATGGAGTATGTAGATTCAAATTTTAGTAATTTGTTAACACTAAGAGTTGTGATTGTGAGATACAAATTACATATGATTGAACCTTAAATCATCCGGGGTCATAAGTAATAACGAGATACATATATCGTTATTGTGGATGGACAATCACATGTGGTATTTCTTACGTGTGAAGTAAGTAGCTCATCTCAAAAGTTAAAGTGTGATGACATTTAAATAAACTTGTGGAGACCCACTGATGAGATTCTACATGGATAACTATCTGAGTGTTAGTAATTAATCTCCAACGTTCGATAGTGGAATTAATCCTTTGACTTGAGGTCATCACATTGAGATGAAAGATTTGATCGATAATCAAGATTGACACACTTCCATATCTCATAATTAATCAGATCATATTGACAATCAACGTAAAATTTGTCGAATCTTAATTCACGAAGCTAATAATTAATGGTTCTGTCGTTCTGATGTTGAAAAGGGAATAAAAAGACTTTCCACCAAAAGTAGAAGAACTCCATAAAAAAGAGAGTGATCAAGAAAATCTGCAAAAGTCCTCAAGACAATTAAGCTTTTTGACAAACTGAAAAAGCTAAACCCCACACAAAGTTTCCTTTTGATAAGAATCTACACACTTGAGATCATGCAGGAAGACAGTTCAGATCAGATTACAGACAATGTATCAAATTAATTTTAATCAATCCAATAAGTTAAAATTTATACTAAATTAAATTATTTTAACAGAATTCGTTCATATCAATCTACGTGTAGAGAATTACAATACGAGAACAACAGATATGGATTATTTTTCATGAGGAATTTGGGTAAGGGTTCTAAAGGCAGTTTGTTTTCGCCGTGCCAAAGAATCAAGAAAACGTAAAGGCATGACCTTTCTACAATGTTTGGTAGAGAGGATTAGATAATACTAAATACTATTGTCCCGTCCCGTCCCGTCTTATTAACCTGCAGGCCTAATCCTCTTCTGACCAGCTTTTCCATCTGACTTGAGGGCACCATTGGAATCCCCTTCAGATGAAGCATCCATGGATCTGGTGAAATTTGTTGAAAGATCGGCATAGAGATCAGCAACTTTTCTGATATTGTTATTGAGTTCTCTGATCAACCCTACATTTCTGCTCAAATTATCAGGCATTTTGGATTCATGGTTCTGATTAATCTCATTGATTAACAGCCTGTTCTTATCAAATATGTTTTGTACTTGGACAAAACTTTTCTGAAATGTATGTACAACTTTGCCATCCAACTGAGTACCATTACCAAAGCCCGAAAATGTATCCCCCTCCATTTCTGAATCCAGTCAAAGCAAATGAGATGCTGCACAAGATAGACACCCACAAAGCAAACAAGAATTAACATATAAAGAATAAAAAGAAGTTCAGGTTGAACCCCCTGAACCCTACTTACCAGAGCAATACTAAAACTGAATGGAAATCGGAAAGAATTAAAGCACACACATATTTAAAGTAGTACAAAGTTTCACTATGCTTCTCACGTGCCCAAGAAGTTCTCCCTTAATATAAGAGCTACTCAATTGTCGTCTCTCACACGCTCTTAAAAGAGTGACCTATTATATGTAGAGGCAGTATGTATAAGGTCGATCTGTAATCAACGAGATGAATATATAATTTGATTAAACTCCATGCAGTATAACACAAGACGATTTTGTTCTTAGAGAAAAAAATAACACGACGAGATGAAACAATCTAATATTCAATTATATATTGGTTTAAGGAAAGCTTATCATCATATCTTCTAGTGTGTACTTACATATATCAACTAAAAGCCCAGACAAAACATGATAAGATTTTGAATTGTTTAATGACAATTTGTGCACTAAGAGACAAGCTCTGAAGTTGATATCATGCCACCCTCTAATTAGCTACATCTTTTCAAAAAGGAATCATATTTTTTATTATTAACTATTTTATATATTGATTTTATTATTATCATTAATGTAGTAATTTTAATCTTAATTATTATTATTATCATTTCTCAATTATTATAAGGGGTATGATGAGATGTGAGAAAGTAGATCCCATTTCCACAAGAAGGAACCTTTTTTTACATGTATTCAGAAAAATCCACTTAAAGCTTAGAATTCCAAAGAAGAATCTCAATACCCAAAAACCAGTCATTGATGCCCACAACTCATAAATAAGGAATAATTCCAAGAAATCATTGTCGAAAAATATTGGACATATTACCATAATCATACAAAACAAAACCCGACTTATGTAGTACGCGATATTGAACATTTTTCTTCCAGAATCAAATAAAACGTAATCTAATTCAATGTATCAAACAATGGGATAATCTCCAATTACATAATATTCTATTGAAATTCTTGAAACAATTTTGGGGAGCTGGTAAAATCACAAAAAATGTTTAACCATTTCTGGTAAAAATGAAAAAAAAAAAGGGGCTTTGTTCAAAATTCTGAAAAAGCATAAAGCAGCAAGGACGAAATTGGGAATTCAAATGTTGGATCCGTACAAAAGAGGATTGCAGTTGCAGACAGAATAGTGTTCTTAAAATAGGAAAAAAGTTGAACAGAAACTTAGAATTAAACCCATATAGTTAGAACCCACTAAAGAAAACAACGAATCAAAATCAATAATCCCAAAACAGATCCCAAATTAGTGAAAAAATATTACAACTACAGTCTACAATTTCTTAAAAAATTATGCAAGTTTTTCCTAATACACACAGAGAAAAAACGAAAATGGAGTTGAGGAAAACATCTAACGATATCAACTGAGCTGATAAAACTTTTTACAGTAAAAAAAAAAGGAAAAAATCCTTTCCCACAGCAATATAATTACTTCTTCCTCAAAGATTTTATGCAGAAGAATATATATGTTCATATATATTTATAGTTTTGCACGTACCTTGAAAAACAGTGAACATTATCTGGTGAGAGAGAGGGAACAGAGATTGGAATTGGAGGAAAGATCGGCGATTGAATCGAATCTCAGAAGGAAAATTGTGAGAGAGAGAGAATTTGTAGATTTGACAGTCACGCTCCAAACAATCCTCAGTGTGTGTGTATATATCTGTTTACCTTCTTCTCTGAGTTGTTATATTCCACGACTATATTATTTTATCTTTATAAAAATTTAGCGGAAAATTAGGATTGGCTACTAACATTTCACGTGATATATGACTAATTTAAATACATGAATATGAGTTCACATTTCAGAACTTTCAATTGAGAGAAATATTAATTAATTTGATGATTTTTCCTTCTAACTTTAAATTGGTGAAAGTAACGTGTGATTTTAATGTCTATATCAACATTTTAATCACATGAAAACCCAAATTTAAATGAAATATCCAAGCGATCTTTTCGTAGGCGTTTGCCTCTGATTCAATCGGGAGATCAAATTTATTAAAAAAACACGAGTTTAATTTGTTGATTTATTAGTGAACAAGGAAAATTATTATCTAGATGAGTGACCTTGAAACAATAACAGTTAATTACTATTGCTATAAAACAAACTCGCATTCTATCTTTGTTACCTATTGATAAATCCCTAACTTTAGTTTTTTTTTTTTTTAAATAAAAAAAAATTGATTCAATTGTGAAATAGCATGACGTATGTATCTAGGTAATAATCGCTTGAAAGTAAATTCTCCCTAGATACATATATTCAATTCTGAATTTCTTTCAAACGTATGAGTTGTGCTAAAGATTCAAACCCTATTTTCATCTTAATAATAATAATAGTAATAATAGAAGTGAAAATTTTAGACCTAAAATTAATTTCTAGATCGAATTGATATATTATTCATTTATTGAATATTTAGAATGAAATGTAACACATGACGTGTAATGTGAGTACTTATTTATTATCATATATCATGTATAATAATTGTAGAGGATGTATAGGAAAAATGTACTATCAATGAATTTTCAATGATGGATACTAATGTATTCTTTACAATAGTGACTCTTTACAATCTAAATCTTCTAATCAATAATTAGGTCAAAGAAAGCTGTTGGTGACCTAGAACTTCAATTTTGAAAGTTAAGGGACCCAAAACCACAAAATGTAAATGTTGAAAAGTCAAACCCTAAATTCCCCATAATTGAATGGAATTTTTTTGGTTTTTGTGATTTGTACTGTAGTTAGAGAAAAAAAAAAAACCTTAGGTGGGTGCGAGCGGATGTCAGTATTGATTGTGTGATAGTAGCAAATATTTAAATGAGAACTTGGAAGGCCTAATAGGGGAAATGTTTCGTGCGAACAACACTTGCACACGAATTAGTCGATCCTAATGGTTGGGAAATCCACACAAATAATGTGTTTAGCACGTGCACCAAAAAGAAATCGAGTTAAAAATTTTGAATCGAGGCATAATAGTTGATGACAACGTTAGGAGATTCGAAGATTTCAACGGGAACCTCGTGAAGAGTTATTTTTTTTATTTAGCAGCCTGTCCATCCTGAAAATAGTTCAGTCGAATGTAGGATCCAATGGCTAGAAGAACATTGCACTTCGCGTGGTATTCTGTGCGCTCTAACAACCTTTGAAAATTTTGAGTACTGAGTACCATCCATGATTGCTCGTACTTATAACAACATCAAGTCTCAAGGTGAATGGAACAATGTAGGTAAGAAAAGTCGGCAAAATAGATCCATAACCTTGGCAAAATGATTGGCTCTTAGAGTTGGACATGGAGCCCCGTCCCAAATCCGTTGACTATCGGTGGACAACTCAAATTGGTGCTAGTTTTTTGAGAAGTGATTTTGTAAAAAAATAAATATATTTTATTTGGATAATTTGTAATTAAAAGTAAGAAAAAGTTATGAATCTACGTGCAAAATTATTTTATTGAGAGAACGTGATTGAAAATGAGTTTGAAAAGAAATTGTTTATGAAAAAAAAAAATCAAACAAGGGCTTTATTAATGATGTCATCACAAGATTTAGCATGTTTTATTACGTGGAAGATTCTTTTTCTTATGCAATGTAAGTAAAGTAGGCTTTAATGGAGCTCGAAACGAATATTGTCTAGAATTTATTTTGGATTCGGACATAATTACTTATTGTGCAACAATTGTGTTTTTCGACGCTTATGTAACACTGTGTCATGTTAAAAGTTTCATTTCAATAACACAATTTCCATATTAAAAGTGCAAGTGTGCATCGTTGTCTAATCAATACAACCAACATAAATCACAAGGAGTGCAAAAAAAAGCGACATTAAAATTTTGTGACAATTGTTTTTGGTACCCAAATTGAGATAACGTTATCTTCAATGAACTTTAGAAAAAACAAAAAAACTATTGACTGAATATTATGTACTAAATAAGCACGAACCATTGCTTCTAAATTTGGAATATTAACTAGGCCATTAGAGTAAAGCACATAGTTGAGTCCCATCGTGATTCGTGAGGCTTCATCTAACATTATTTTATTATTCCTTTCATGTTTATCGAAGATCGCGACATTCTATATTTTGTAACATAGTTCAAAGGGGGTGTTTTTTCGTCTTTTTAAAATGCTAAATCTAGAAAGTTTTGTACTACATTAATAAAAAAACATTTTAAAATAATATAGAGTGTTTTCATGTTGGGAGGCTACGCCATTCTAGAATATTTCATATCGAGAAGTTTCTAATAACTGTTTAGAAGGTTGTAGAAACAACCTTAATTTTCATTCGTAAATACGTTATAGAGAACTTTAGCATTAATATCTACCATATGATCAAGTAAATTTCCACCATTCACTTTAAAGAGGTGGAGGTGTAAATAGACGATAAATTCATTTGTAAATCATCCATGTTAGGGTGAGTTTTGGGGCTAGTAAGAGTGAACTTGTGAGAAAAAATCAAGGACTTGCAAGCTCAAGTTGTACTTATAAAGTTGTAATACGTGTAAATTATATATTTCACTCTAATTTTTCTAGTCGATTTTCTCTTTCTTGCTTAGTCATTTTGTAATGTGCTGTCTAGTTTACTGCCCCAACCCACTTCGTAAGAGAGAGAGGAATTTTACAGTTAAATTGACCCAAATATCTATATTAGCACAACTTCATATTGAGTCCAAGCCCAATTATCTAAATACTCTTTCATGATATTAATAAAATGTGAACAATTTTATACCAACTTATATTTTTATTTAATGCATATTTTACTAATAATTATATATAAACTTTTATAATAAATAAAATTATATTGATTAGAGCTAAAATAAATTACTTATTTTTATAATAAATATTTGGTTAAGGTTAAAGTAATTAAATCTTTTAATTTTAAAAATATTTTCATATATAACTTATTCATGCTTATAAGAAAGAAACTTACTTATTTTGATCTTGAAATTGATGTTACTAACAAAATAAATAACTTACTTTATATTTCATCTTACAATAAAAAAATATTTATAAGAACTTATTTATTTATAAATAATAAGATTATATGTATACTATAGAAGTTGAATCAAATATGGACATGAAAGAAATCAATTTTTTTTACCCTTGAGATTTCTTGTCGTTTTTTCACTTTGGATGGATTCTTCACTCATGATAGAATGTGTTGGTACAAAATATTGATGTCCAAATTAGATAATATTTTGAGAATGGTGACGTATAATAATGTATTTTTGGTTGTCCTTTTTGCCAAAACTTTATGTTGTTTGAAACAAATGGTACTAAAATTCTTGAGTATTTTTTTAGTTTTTGATTGATGGATATATATTATTTGCTTACGTTTATCGTGCTTCTATCAATTTATATTTTTTAAGGTGAGCATTGATTTTATATTTCGCAAGAAAACGTACGAATATGTAGTAAACATTTAAATTTGTACTTCATTAAGTGTCAGATGCTATTTGTCAGAAATGTAATGGTGTAGTCTCCTAAACTCTATCTCTTGTAACGTGAGTTTATTTAGAATTTTTAAATTTTAACTCATCTCAAAATCATTTTCTGGCTCCGCCCCTGAGCAGTTTACATTTCTATATAGTTACTTTGGAAACATGCAGTTATCGTATTTGATATCCTTGATGCCAATACATGCATCACATTATTATGATGTTGCTTGGAGCATAGTTGTGAGAATTCAAAAATGTCAAGCGGAAGATGACAATATTCTCAACCAAAAAATTAAAGAAGTTCACATTTAAATCTGTTGATTGTTGTTTGAAGGTATATGGATTAATGAACGTATTGAAAGTCTACATAAAAGGTGAATTTTCTAGATGGGGAAAAGGTTAGGAACTAATTGTGCAAAAAAAAAATCGAAAAGTTAATAAAAAAAACATATAAAGGTCTGGAGAATAAAATGCACGCATAGGTCAAATATGAGATGTTTAAGGTTGCACCACAAGTACTCTATTGTTACTAAGCTCACATTTAATTTTATTATTGTCTTTTAAAATTTAAACAATAAAAACAAAACATGGAACTCCAAAGATATTGGACCAAATGCGATTGCCTCAAGATCGACCCTGTTATAAACATAAACTCTGCACAAGGATCTTTCATCATAAAAAATTCCTATAAACAATTCATTATCAAGAGTCGAACATTGTTCACTTATCGAAACTTTTAAGGAAAGTAAAGGGAATTTCGCAAGACTTCATACAGGTGCTGCGCCGACAGCACTTGATTGGTCTTTTTTTTTTTTTTTTAAACTGTCAATTGAAAATTGACAAGTGTGTTTGGCAAGGAAATCTGACAAAATTCCCTATAAGTCTAGCACAGACGAACTTTTATTGGATTTTCATTCTTAATAAGCCCCTGTTTGTCTACCATTTTCCCAAAAATTGTTTTATACAGTAAACAATTTCCATCACATATTCACCTAATAAAATATTCTATACATAAATTAATAAAGTTATTTTAAATTTCAACCACGCATTCTTCAAAAAATACTATTCATTACACTATTTTCCTCTCCATAATGGTAGACAAACAGGGGCTAAATTGTTTGATTTGATGTTGGAGTTGAATGAACAGTCTTACAAATGACAGGATGGAGTTCGAGTAGAAATGATTAATTTATTTCTTGGGAGCAAGAATCTAGAGTTAGGCCTTGTTTGTTTCTGATTTTGAAATCAATTCTCAAATCAATTCTCATTTTCAACCACACATTCTTCAATAAAATAATATTTTCCATCACATCAATCATTTTTTCTTCTTTTTCAACCACACATTTCCCATCATATCACTATTCAAAATCAATTCTTCCCCCAAAAANATCAAATCACTATTCAAAATCAATTATTCCCCCAAAAATCCCTACCAAACAGGCTCTTAATGTTGAGCCGCCTCTAAATGGCTATTTTTTGAGTTTTCTAGTTATTTTAAAATAGATAAAACTATCGTTTGATTTAGCTAAAAAAAATGATAAAAATTTAAATTAATAATTAATTTTAACCACATATCTTATGAGATTCATAATTTTTATCAAGTTTTGAATAATATATTTCATCAATTTGTATTAAAATCTACCAAAATCTAGTTCTTAACTAAACAAGCAAAAATCTGACGTCATTTACTTTTCAAACTGGTAATTATTAGTTTTACAAAATTCAATAAAATGGGTTTAAAAAATTCACTGGATTAATTCTTTAAAAATACGGGTACAACCCATTTGATTTTGAGAAAATGCTAATGTACAGAAGGATTGCAACAGAATTTAAACAGAAAACTCACATGGGGGTGGGCTCCATGTGAGTTTAAAATATTGGAAAAAAGGGCCCCACCTAATGTGTCTTATCTGTTGCCTTTCTGTACACCCAGTGGATCTCTTTGATTTTACCCAGGTGACGGTCGCCTGAGGATCTACGTTTTGGTCGAGGATAGAATTTAACTACAGTCGTGTTGTAAGTACGAGATATTTTCATAGATTTTGTACGGGAAAACAACTTAATTGGCTGTTGCAAGAAAAAAAAATTGGCAACAACTTTTTGGCAACAACAAATAACAGGAAGACGATCTTCGGGTACAAAATCTGTGAAAATAATTTTGTACTTGAAGATTTATTCAACTATTCCCAACAACCGGGGGATAACGAATCAGAAGTCTCAATGTGTGTGAATTGAAACTGAAGTTCGAGCCCCTGCCTAACCAAAATTTCAAACCTGCTAAATTGCAGTGGGCCCACATATACCGCTTGTAGACGGTAGACGATAATGTTATGACTTTTTTTTTTTTTTTTGAAAAAATAATGTTATGACTTAAACTTGCAAAAATGGACACACATGATTTGACAATGACAATTGCCAAGAACCATGCTACAGAAAATTCTTAAACTACTTTTTTTACAGCCATGCGGTATTTTGTCATTGGTCTGTTTAAAAAAGGAGATAATTTTTGCTCCAATCACACATGGCCAACAGTGATAGGGTGGGCAACTTTTTCTGTGCAAATGGCAAAACTCTTGTGGTAAGAACCATGTTACTTGTACAGAAAAATCTTACAATTTCTTCGACATAATGCCATTCTATCAGTGGAGAGAGTTTTTGCACCAATCACACGATCAATAGTGATCCGTCAAATTTAGGACTTGCACCATATTTCTTTTTCAAATTTTGAATGTTAGCAGATTTTTTTTTGGAAGTTTCAATTAATTTGAATACTCACCATTTTTTTTCTCAATAATATGCTTTCATTCATTTAATTAATTCTCATGTTCACAACATTTTGCTTGTTTGTAGGGACCATAACTAA